GACTCAGGGCGGTGAACAGCCGAGATAAAACAGAGCATACAAAATTTAAAAAACAGTTTAAAAGATAATTAAATAATTTTGGCCACAACTTAAAACAGATGAGAATAATGAGAATAATGACCGTAATACTGCCTTTTTAGATAGTTTGACAGTGTTGTGGGAATTAGTTGTTTAGCAGAGTGATGGCATGGGGGGAAAATACTGTCCTTGTGTCTAGTTGTTCTGATGTGCAGTGCCCTATAGCATCATTTTGAGGGTAGAATTTGAAACTGTTTGTGTCCAGGATGCGAGGATCTGTAGATATTTTCACAGCCCTCTTTCTGGCCCGTGCAGCATACAAGTCCTCAACGGAAGGCAGATTGGTAGCAATTGTTTTTGCTGCAGTTCTAATTATATCACTACACTATTTCCTTTTGGGGCAAACTATGCTATTCCAAGTACAAAAAGGAAAGGAAATAACAACCCGAAAAATCTTAAATGCATAAGAAAAGGAAATGCAGGTAGTCCTCCATTACGACCACTTGTTCAGCGACCATTTAAGTCATACTACGCTGAATGAAGGGGGACTTCAGACTGGTCCTCAAAGTTCTGGAAGTTGCACTCTCCTTATGAGTATGATTCAAGCACTTGGCATCATAAGCGCTCACTAATGATGGTTGCAGCATGCAACCATCATGTGTTCAAGTGATCGCCATTTGCAACCTTCTCTACTGGCTTCCCACAAGCAAAGTCAATGGGGAAGCGATCAGGGCCTGTCTGTTGCTCCAGCTCCTGATGCCTTTGAGTTGCACCAAGCTGCAGCACCACCACCACACTCCACACCCCAGCTGCACTGCAGCAACTCCTGCCTGCTCTCTCTTGCATACACTTCCCACTGACCTGCCTGCAAGCTGCCTAAGGGAACACTTTTCATGGTTGGGACTTGTAATTTCTTGCTGGCTTCCTGATTGATTTTGCTTGTTGGAAGCTGGAAGGAAATCCCAAATCTCAGTCAGATGAGATCTTTGCAACCTGTGATCCTTGTTTTACAATGGGAACAGGGGCTGCTGGGATTGCAGTCAGTAAGTGATGTGATCACATGACACTGTACTTTATGTCTACATTGCTTAGCGACAGGGTGGGTTTGATTTAAATCATGTCAATTTAAATCACGATTTAAATTGTGATTTAAATCACTAGTAAAAAGGCTTGATTTAAAGCAAGTCAATTGAAATCATGATTTAAATCATGATTTAAATCAGTAGTAAAAAGGCTTGATTTAAATCAACTCGATTTAAATCATAATTTTTAAAGAGCAGCTATCATCTCTATCCCGCAGCGACTCCTCCTCTGACCCTCTGTTGACTCACCAACAGTCCAATTCACTTTAATGGGATGGCTGGTGATGCGGCAGTGACACAACAAGGTGAGGGATGTGGCGGGCAGTAGATGAGTGGATGCCCGTTAACGGGCACTGCCATGATGGATCTGAAATGATAGATGCTCTTTAAATGTAAGGACTCATTCTTGCTGGTATCCTTACTATTATATTTATTATATAGATATTTATATTAAATATCTTTAATATTATTATTTGCAAACAAAATGAAGATTTCCTATTTAGACTGCATGTTATCTCAGCTTGCAAAGCTAAGATTCATTGAATGAGTTTACCAAAAATGTAAATATTGCAGAACATACAGCCTCATGCTACATAACTAAGCTCCATTTCATGCTGAATAAACTAAATTATTAATGCATCTTAAATAGAAAACTATCTATTCTCCAGGGTGTGTGTGTGTGTTATTTTTATTTTTTTAAATAGTGGATTTTTATCAACCCTGCTTAGCGAAATTCCAGTGTCCCAATTACTATCATTAAACGAGGACTACCTGTATAACTGTACTCACCCTATTTACTATATTATTCCATTCCTTTCTATTTATGCAAACTACCAATTTTGGCTTCCACCAAATCCATACACTGGTTTATATACTGCCCTTTGTTCTTTAACATTTTGAGGATTGCATTAATTTGGCCATGATTTTCTCTAACTTCACTTTCCTTCCCACCCATTCATTCTTCTTTCCTATGTTTATTTTGTAACTTAATCTTTATTCATTCAACTTGAAACTGGGCATTCATTTGTATAAACAAGATTAAATTGCTGTTTATTGTATGGGATAGCTCAGCGGATGGTTATTCCTTTACATCCTTGCAGTTTATTTCAACAGGAATTGTATATGACTTACATACTCTTCCTTTGTTTGAATTTTCACGAAGTTCTCCATATGTTGTTTGACCTTTGGAAATGGTTCTTTTTAGTTATTTTATGTTCTTCTTGCTGTGACTCAAAATACTGGGAACAAAGAAACAATTTTCTAAATAGCTCTTCCTGTATATAAATCTCTCTTTGTTCTATGAACTGTTTTAATTATAATTCCAAACTATGAAAAAGATTTGTAAGAAAATACATATTGGGGTTTATGCCATGAATTCATATGCCACAATCTTTTAAAATTTATTTTTATTTTTATTTATTTTTCCACCTTGGGTTCAGCTGCTTCAGCCATTCATTTAGCAGAGGTGGGGAGCTATGGCCACACTGTCTCAGGAATTCTGGGAATTAAAGTCCACAAGTTTTAAAAGGGCCATAGTTCCCCATCCAATTTAGAGCTTGAAGATGGAGTGCATATTACTGCACAGACCCATAGTTATAGAAAATGACTTTCTTCACTCCTCCTATTCCTTTTTCTTTTAATGATCCTGTAATACCTTGCATCGAGGTTGAGTCGGGGCGACTGAATGGAGCTGAACATTTTGGCCGGATACCCTTCCTGATGCCTACGTGAAGTTCACAGCAGACAATTACTCATTGCAGCCAGAGAGAGAAATATCTGCCGCTACCTAGGATCGAACTCACAGCCTCCTGATTGTGAGATAAGAGTTCTACCCCTAGGCTACCACACTGCTCTTCTGAACTCCTCCTAAATGTTTGCAAATAATTTAAAATAAGTGTACTGATAAAGTGACGTTTTCTACAGGTGGTCCTTGACTTCTAACATTTGTTCAGTGATAATTTGAATTTATAACTTTGAACAGTCACTACATCATGGTTGTAAATTGAGGACTACATGTGTCTCTTTTTTAACATTGGCATGAACTTCTGTGTCCCTCTGAGTTCTTCCTTCTTGGTAGCCTCTTTTCTTCTGGTCAACTGCAGGGCAGTTCAGATTGGAAAACTTCCATCTGGAGTTCCAGAGAGCTCAGGAGCAGGTGGTTTTCTCATCTGACAAACTCTTGTAAACTTCCTGGTCTCTAATTTCACAACTCATCAGTAAAATTAAATTTTATGAATGAATATAATTTGGATTTTTCTATTTGGTTTCTATTCAGGTTCACATCTTATGAAAAATGTGCAACTTCATTTCTTCTGCTTATATGAGCAGTCCACTACCTCAGATGCTTGCCTCATCCCATCCACTTAGCCTCTAGTCAAGGCTCAAATGAGCCATTGTTCTCCCATCCCACTCACCCAAGCAGAGAGACTACACTGCAAACTCTAGTCATATATGTAGCTGTCTGGAACAGTACCTGGTTACAGAATGATGGTGTCATTACAGATTTCAGCACTTTGTATTTAAATGTAAGAAAAAAAGAACGAAACCTTGATGGCCAGGAGATCCCTCCTCCTCCTCCTCCTCTTCCTCCCAAATACATACACACAAATATGAAGCATCAATTTAATGTTACCCATTTCATTGTGAAGCAAAGGCAAAGGCATTGTTTTACCCAGAAACTGCCATATCTTAGGAAATGGCACACTTATTGAGAGCTTTGTCAGTTTACTCAGCTGGAGGGAGCCCTTAATTGGCTCTTAGTTTTTCCTATTTGATCTCAGCATTTGAGGCTTCAAAGTGGGTAGGAGAGAGGAAATTGTCCTGGATGATAGTTAACTAAAATTGGTAGGATCTTAAATAAAGCTGGTTTGGGGGGTGATCACACTTAGAGGTCAGCCTTAGAAAAAAAATCCATTTTTAAATATTATTCTGGTGCAGCTGATGTAAGAGAAACCATTTTCTAGTGGAATGTGACGTAAAGCTGAAATGAATGCAAAATAGATCCCACTAAAAAACGCTTCAAAGGAATAACCAGTGATCATCTGTCTGGATAGGTTTATTGATTTGATGTTAAATACATTGCATTTACTGATGCCTAAGGAATTGCTTCCTAGTGCATAAATTAAGGCACCCACTACATTTAGATTTAGATTATGTATTCTTAGATGCAAACACTTCTGAAGAATTTATCAAGATACCAAGAATCATAAATGCATGCATGGATGCTGGGCAGGATGAATTGCAAAAAGTAAATTGTTATATACAATTGATAAGATAACGTCTTCACTTGGATTGCTGACATGTACTCCTTTTCAACATTTGTATTAGTTTTTTTGTGGGGCAGAGAATCAGAGCAGCCTCAGCAGATAGCGATACTTGGTTGACCCTGTCTAGCCTGAGAAGCTAAGCAAGATACTTGTACTTGATAGGAGCTTTTCCGAAGACTCCAGAACTGAAAACTGGATTTATACATTCTGGAAGAATGCAGTTGTCAACCATTTCATATTGTTGTCAGGAAAACTACATAGATGTGCCCATAACATCACCCTAAGCTAAATTAAACCCGATGGAAACTCTTTAAGAAAGAGCAGCAATTTGGTCCATTTTTCTTTGGTACGATACAAATTTCCCTCTTGCTGTCAATATAGAGCATGATGTTCAACTCATATATTTTAATCTTTCTATAAATTCCAAAGATGAACATTACATTTGGATTTTTGTTTGTTCAGTAGAGAGAAAGTTAGAGCACTCAGTAGTAGTCCACTTTTTTCTCAAGGGTCCACCAGCTGTGGACACAGAGACGCGAAGATAAACAGAAAATTAGGTCTGCCACCAATCTTCATTCATGTCATTCATTGACTATAGTCCGGCTAAAATTATGTTGCTTTCTTTCACCTGTAGGTTTGTTGATTGGTTCTGGGTGTGCTCTCTATCCTCTGGGCTGGGACAGTGAAGAAGTCAGACAAGCCTGTGGCAATCTTTCCGACCAGTTTGAACTAGGTGAGTAATCCTAACCTTGTGGACAATGGCCTTAAATGAAATGGAATCACAAAACAAAACCAGAAAGAGAAAAACACACAAGAATGAAATAAGTGAAGAAAGAATCTTAAGAATCCTTAAGAAATGGAACAGCTGCCCAGCCAAAATCTATGACTAAAGTAAAGCCATTTCAGAGACTCATGCCTATGTGCTAGTTTAACTGTGGTTTGGTCTTGGCTGTGTTTGCATAACATGCTGAGATATAAATCATCTATAAACTGCAATTATTGGGTTTGCTAAAATTGTAAAGCAATAATAATATAATTAGACAAAATTTCCGTCTTTTGATTGCAAGAGACCACACAGCTTGGATCCGCACATATACCATTGCTGACTCATCCTAGGTTCTTGGGGAAAACTCAATGTGTATGAAGGTCAACACCAGCTACAGAGCTGGCAATTGTGATTTCACATTGTTGTGTATATAATTTTTAAACCCATTATGGTTTTTAGACCATAGTGTGAACTGCTTCCTTAAGTATATTTTCTTCCCTAATTTCTGCCTGCTCTACTACTTTAAGTCTTGTGAGTCCTCTATCCCGTAAAGTTTAACTCATTTTGAAACGGTCATCCTGAGTTGAATGTGGGGGATCCTACATACAGAAATCAAAAAGGATTGGGTCCCCCAAACCATACTGCAATAGAGGGGGAAATGCCCTTGTTTTCAGAGATGGTTCCTGATTCCTGAAGATATACCTAAGTGCAAGCTGAACTAAGTTTAGGGGCAGATATCTGGACACCGTTTTTGAATCTAAAATGAGTTTTTAATCCCTAAAAAACTCTGATGAGTGCGTTTTTATACAACACCCCAAACTCCTAGGCATCTGATCTGGGCAGGCATCTCTTAAAGGTAAGAAAACTTCAGACCTTTGCCTATCTTCATACAAAGGAGCCAGCATGTTTACAAACTTGGTGGTGAGGAACAAATGAATATGGCCTACGAATACATGTGTTTTCCTTCACTTATTGAATACAGCATTAAAATGCTACTGGTATTAATCCAAGGGGGGTGGGGAATAGAGAAAAGGAGGGCAGGACTTCCAATAATACTGTCTTTGTGTGTTTTGTCTCCCCTGCAGGCACCTGTGAAATTGGCTGGGCTTACTATTGTACAGGAGGAGGAGCTGCAGGGGCAATGTTGATATGCACTTGGCTGGCCTGTTTCTCTGGCAAGAAACAAAAACAATATCCTTATTAAAGCCAGAGCAAAACAGAACAAAAGCAAACAGTTTTGGGGATAGGGGTGGGGGGGGGGGAACAGTTTGTATGTTTTCTTGAGAAGATGCATATTAACTCTTTATTGTAGCCAGATAAATGCAAACAAGAGTCAGTGAAGTTGGAACCGATGTGTGATACTGTGAATAAGGAGGAGGTTCTTTGGGTCTTAAGGAGGATCTCAGACTGAGAATCTTAGGGGGGCCTAAGTTCTAACTGTATTCTTCCTAGCCGGTTATGGGCATCGTCCAACCACATGAAGTATCCCCTCTCATGAAGAGTGGGGAAAAGCGATGGGATTTTAGCACACCATCAGTTGAAAAGAGTTGAAGAACGTTATCTTCAAAGACAAGGATTGGGTCTTAGAAAAGTTTCTCAGCAAATAGAGAAAGAAGAAAGGTGGCGTTTCTTCCCCTTTGTAACCTTTCTAGGGAAGTGAGGAAGACAGCGGTCAGGAAAGGGTTATCTGCTCCTAATCCAGCGAAGATCGGGTCAGGAAGTTGAAAGGCTCCTCCTCCTGTAGCTTCCCCAGCTTTCTGACTCGATCTGTGCTGGATCGGACGCACATAGCCTCTCTCCTGTTCTTTGCAGTTTAAATTTGACTCTAATTCGGTCTTTTACTTTCTAAATTTCTTAAACAATTGAGGTCTACAGCGAGAAGGGCTGCTTCGGTCCAACTCCGCTGCGACCGCTTGCGGTCTTTGGGGATTGAGACCCCTTGGCTGGGTCTCTCCCACTTGGCGCGAACGGTTCACGCCCGATTCCGCCGCTGAGAGCCTCCTCTTGGAGTCGAGGTTCTCTGTCTCTCTCTTAGTGGCTGCTTGCTTCCATTCCGGCGAGACGATCTCTCCCTCGCCGAAGACACCCCTCGGCAGTTAAATTGCTGCCGCTTGCAGCCTCTTCGTGCCCGCTGCCGTCGCTTGAGTCGCTCTGCTTCTAGCCGCCCGTAATCGCCGCCGGATCCTTCCCGGCTCCAAATTGACGGAGCGAAGAAGCGGTTTTTGTAAGCGGACGTCAATTTTATTATTTGGGGCCCCTTCTCTGGACTTTGGACAGCTTCTGGGGTGTTATTACAGCGGCCGCCATTTATCGCCCTAGGCCACCACCGAACCTTGCCTTAACGGCCGCCATTTTGGGCTCTCCTCGCGGCATTGCGGGCCTAGTCTTTGACTCCCTAAGCTTCTGGGGTGTTATTACAGCGGCCGCCATTTTATCGCCCTAGGCCACCACTGAACCTTTGCCTTACGGCCGCCATCTTGTCCTCACTCGTGATATTAGAGGCCTAGTTTTAACAGCATGGCATCCCGTTCATCTAAGGCGAATAAGCGCCAGGCCTCTGAGGACCCGGCTCCAGGCCCTTCATCAGCTGAGCCTTCTAAAAAATCAAAGAAATCTCAGGCCTCTAGGGAGGAAAAGAAGGCGGCAGCCAGGGCCAAAGAGGAGCTTCGCCTACACCAGGCGATTGAACGCTCCATACAGAAGGCCATGAAAGAGGCCTCTGTTCGAGAGGCCCCAATCTATCAAGAGGTGATGGCCACACCCCTGGCCCCCCAGGCCCCAATAGCCTCTCTACCTGAGCCAGTGGAAGCTCAGGCCCAAGAGTCACGCCCTTTATCTCCGGATGGGGGTCAACTGCCGGCCCTTCCTCAAGGGCAGATTTGTGAAGTCCTCTTTGGAGCACAGTCAGATACTCCTCCCCAGGGCCAGGCCCCAGCCTCTTCTACTCCGTTGGGAAATGCACCATCCAATTTGGGGAGTAATGTACAACCGGGTCCCTCGGTTACCCCTGAGACCCTGGCGTTCATTCAATCTGCTATCCAAAAAGGGGTGCAGGCTGAATTAAGGAATCTGCGCAGGACATCCTCCTGGGTGGCCGACTCTGCCTGCTCGAATCTGGACGTTGAGGGTTCCCCTTTGGAAGAGGGTCAAGACCCTCCTATAATTGCTGTAACTTCGGGGGCTCCATCTGAGCATCCATCTTCCCATGACGAGGATGCTCGGGAGGGGGATCTCTCTGATGATGAAGACCTCGCCCCAGATCAGCCATCCTTCATAGGCTTATTTAAGCCTCACCTTTTTAGGTCCCTCTTGCACAAAGCCAAGTTAACTACCCGCCTGGGTTCCCCTCAGGCCGTTCCTTCTTCTAGCGGGGACAATCAGAGCTCTATTCCCCTCTTTGAGGTCCCAGAGATTGAAACCGAGGAGGTTCCGGGTCCCAAGCTTTTTAGAGACGTCCTTAAGAAACAATGGTCGGCGCCTGCTTCGGGGCCTAACCCTAACCAGCTCGACAGGCGTTTTTATAACATGGCCCCAGAGTTGGCCTCCCTACTCCAACTCCCGACTGTGGACCCTCCAGTAGCAGCCCTTCCGGCTCCCTCTAATGCTACTGGACCGCCTGAGGAACACCTCCGGCCGGAGGACAAACGGCTGGAACAGTCACTAGTCAAATCTCATTTGGCTTCAGCCTGGGCAGCTAAATCTGCTATGTCCTCATCGTTCTTTAATAGGGCGTCCATTTTGTGGATTCGGCAACTGCAGGATAGGCTCCCAGTGTCAGATTCCAGGACCCACCAAGACCTTAACAAAATTTTAGCGGCATTGGAATTTTCCGCCGACGCGACGCTCAATGCGTCCCGTTTCTCGGCCAAGGCAATTGGCTCAACCATAACCTCCCGGCGGTTGTTATGGCTGCGGAATTGGCAGGCAGATGCCAAATCAAAGTGGCGCCTTGCCTCCGCAGCCTTTGAGGGCCCCCTCCTATTTGGGGCACCCTTAGAACCTCTCTTAATTGAAACAAAAGACAAGAAACGTATCCTTGCACCAGTCTCGAGGCGTTCTCAATATCGCCCATCCCCTGCTAACTTTCGCTCCTTTCGGCAGCCTGAGTTTCCCTATTCAGGAGGTAGGTTTCCCAGGGCCTCCTTTCCCCGTCCCAGGGTCCCAGAACACCAGGGATACCAGACTCAAAGGGGATTCTCCAGACGTCCCCCCCGGGGCCCCCGGGGCCGTCCCTTCCGCAGGTCCAGATAATCTCCCCTCCTCTCCTCCCATTGGGGGCCGCCTGGCGCTCTTTGCCAGCCAGTGGGAGAATTCTTCCTCCGATGCTTGGGTCCGGGAGACGGTTAGGTGGGGCCTCTCCCTCGAATTTCTCTCCACTCCTCCCGACAGGTTTCTGCGATGCCCTCTTTCTCGGGATCGCGAGAAACGGCTCCTGCTGGCCTCGGCTATTAAACATCTCCTTGACATTCGGGCAATCGAGCCGGTGCCACAGGAGCAGCAGGGACAGGGTTTTTATTCCCGCCTGTTCCTCGTTCAGAAATCCTCGGGAGGTTGGAGGGCAATTCTGGATCTTAAGTCCTTGAACCGCTGGGTCCCCTACCGGCGGTTCAAAATGCAGTCCCTTTCCTCAATCCTAGACAGCATTAGGGTCGGGGACTTCCTCACGTCGATCGACTTGACGGAAGCCTACCTTCATGTCCCCATTCATCCGGCATATTTCAAATTTCTTCGGTTTTGCCATGCGGGTCGCCACTACCAGTACCGCGCCCTCCCATTTGGCCTTTCCTCGGCCCCCCGAGTGTTCACTAAATTGATGGCCGCCATTGCGGCCCACCTCCGAGCTCTTCCGATTAGGATTCTCTGCTATCTAGATGACCTCCTCATTCTGTCGAGCTCGGAGGATAGGGCGCTTCAGGATTTGGACGCCACCCTCCGGATCCTGACGGCTCACGGATTCTCCATCAATAGGGCCAAGAGCCACCTGGTTCCCACGACCCGGATTCAACACCTTGGGGCTATCATCGATACGGTTGAGAGCAGGGTCTTCCTTTCCGAGGAGCGACTGTCCAGTTTGCGGTCTCTGGTCAGTCTGGTCGCTCAGGGAAACCCCGTTCCTTTGGCGACCCTTTCCCAGCTCCTCGGGAAGATGGTCTCGTGCATCGGCATCGTACCATGGGCTCGTCTCCACTGCAGGGCTCTGCAGTGGTTTCTTCTCCCGTATCAGAAGTCCCATCATTCGGCTTCTTCTCAAATTATTCACCTTAACCCCTCTGTCCTTCAGTCCCTCCGCTGGTGGTCCTCCAAATCCCTGTTCAAGGGAAGGGAGTTCAGGGAGCCCAATCCGGTCGTCCTGACAACGGACGCCAGTCTTCTGGGCTGGGGGGCCCACGTTCACTCACGCATGGCCCAGGGCTCCTGGACCTCGGAGGACAAATCACACAACATAAACTGGCTGGAGCTCCGGGCCATTTTCCTGGCCCTCAGGGTTTTCAAGGACATCGTCAAGGACCGACACGTAATTGTCCGGACGGACAACGTGGCAGCCAAGGCCAATGTCAATCGCCTGGGGGGGACTCGGTCCCGCCCCCTCATGGACGAAGCGGAGCGTTTGGGGACCTGGGCGGAGGCCAACTTGCGGTCCCTGCGAGCAGTCCATATCTCCGGCCTAGTGAACACCCAGGCCGACTGGCTGAGCCGCTCCACGCTGGACCACGGCGAGTGGCGCCTCGACCCGAGACTTTTCCAACGGATCACACGTCGCTTCGGGGAACCGACCGTGGATTTGTTCGCAACGAGGGACAATCGCCAGACACCCCGCTTCGTCTCCAGGTTTCCGGACCCGATGGCAGAGTCCACGGACGCCTTCCTGAGCAGGTGGCCGAAAGGACTTCTCTACGCCTTTCCCCCTCTTCCTCTTCTTTCCAGGGTCGTCCGGAAGCTTCTAGAAGAAAGGGCAGAGCTGATCCTCATCGCCCCTTACTGGCCCCGTCGGCCTTGGTTTGCCGACCTTCAGGCTCTGTCGATTCGCCCTCCGTGGCGTCTTCCCTCCGCCGACGTCGTCCTTCATCAGGGTTCGCTCCGCCATCCGGACGCCTCCTGGCTACAACTGACCGCATGGCGGTTGAGCGCCAGCTCCTGACGGAGTCTCTCCTGCCCGACGATGTGATAGACACCATCTCGGCGGCGCGCCGCCCGGCTACTGTACGCATCTACGCGGCTACATGGCGCTCCTTCGCGGAATGGTGTATGCCTCAGGGGATCGACCCAAAGCAGGCTTCTACTAACCAGGTACTCATCTTCCTTCAGAAGGGGTTGGCAGCCGGCCTCGCGCCTAACACATTACGCAGGCAAGTAGCCGCTTTGTCTTCCATTCTCTGTTTGGGGTCCCGTAACTCCCTAGCTCAACGTCCTCTGATTCGTTTGTTCCTCAAAGGGGCTTCCAACCTTCGGCCCCCCCCCGTACACCGCTACCCTACCTGGGATCTTCCAAAGGTGTTAAACGCTCTCACGCGGGAACCCTTTGAACCTATTCGTTCTGTCTCCTTACGGTTTCTCTCCTATAAGGTGTCCTTTTTGGTTGCAATCACCTCCGCCAGGCGGATTTCAGAATTGGCAGCCCTCTCCGTGAGGGCTGATCTCT